GTACGTCCAGTCGTCACCAGCATCAGGGATCTCAGAGATCATGATGACCAAGGGGGGCGACAGCGGTGGCTCGGGCGCAGCAGGACCCTCAGCCTGCTCCTCCTGGAGCTCCTTGGCCGCAGGACCCTCAGCCTGCTCCTCCTCGAGCTCCTCTGCAGCAGGACCCTCAGCCTGCTCCTCCTCGAGCTCCTCTGCAGCAGGGCCCTCATCTGCAGCCTGCTCCTCCTCGAGCTCCTCTGCAGCAGGACCCTCAGCCTGCTCCTCGAGCTCCTCTGCTGGATCCTCGTCCTCCTGACCCTCAGCCTGCTCCTCGAGCTCCTCTACCTCCTCGGCCTCCTCCTGACCCTCAGCCTGCTCCTCGAGCTCCTCAGGCGCCGTCTCCTCAGCCGCTGCTGGCCTCTTCCTCGCAGCGCCTCCCTTGGCCTCCTTGGCGGCCTCCTTGGCTGCCTCCTCAGCCGCTGCCGGCCTCTTCCTCGCGGCGCCGCCCTTGGCCTCCTTGGCGGCCTCCTTGGCGGCCTCCTTGGCGGCCTCCTTGGCCGCCAGCGCAGCCTTCTTCGCGCCCTTGGCGGCCTTCGCCTTGGCCTTGGCCTTGGCCACCACGCTGGCGTTCAAGGCCGCGGGGTCAGGCGCCTCCCACGACGGCAGGGAGATCATGCCGCCAGCCTCTCCTGACTGCTCCGTGTTCTTGCGCTTCTTCTGCGACTTGGGCGGGCTCGCCGCCTTGCGCTTGATCTTGCGCTGCACTCCTAGCATGCTCCGAAAGCCTGGAATCTTCACCTTCTTCAGCGTGGCCAAATCACGCGCCGCCGTCACCTGGCAGCGTCGGCGTCCGCCGCCAGCGCTGGCAGCAGCGCTGGCTGCCACCTCCGTCGCACTTGCGGCAGCGCTGCCACTCGAGCCCGACATCAACTCGACGATCTCCGTGTGTTTGTCATCGGGGCTGTCGAGGACGTCAATGTCGCCGTCGATGTCGGCGATGGGCGCAATTTCGGCCTCGCTCGAGAGCGGCAGGACGGAGGAGGAGGTGAGGAGCGAGGAGGGAGGAAGGAGGGAGGGAGGAGGGAGGAAGGAGGGAGGTGGAGGGAGGAGGGAGCAGGAGGGAGGAGGGGGGGGAGGGAGGATGGAGGAAGGAGGGATCAGGAGTGAAGAGGAGGGAGGAGGGAGGAGGAGGGAGGAGGGATGGAGGGAGGGGAGCCTAGGATGAGGGAGGAGGGCTGCCCTCTCCCCTCGTACTCCCCTCCCGTCCTCCCCTCCCCCTAGGTCCCGTCCTCCCGATCCTCGTCCTCCCCTCCTCGATCGTCCGACGCAGGCTCGCAGAAGTCCAGATTCGAAAGATCGGATTTCCAGACATGCGACGCAAAAAAAACAGGACGGAGTTGTTTTTGCTATTTTCGGCCTCTGGGGGAAAGCGCCCAAAAGTGGAGACAAAAGGGCGCGGGCACGAAACGCCCCCCTCGCCGATTCAAGATGACAAACCAGTCCTGGGGAAAGCGTCGGGATTTCTGGGGACAGCGTTCTGGGGATGTCCTGATTTTCTTAAGAAAATCAGGACATCGCCATGTCTGGGGATCCGCCTCCTCCTCCCCCTCCTCCTCCCCCTCATCAGGGGCGCCCTGACCAAGAGAAGGGTGGCGGCCTCGCGGGCACTCTCGAAGTACTGGTGCAGCTTCTCGTCGTCGATGTCACTTTCAGCCTTGCTTGCGGGGGGGGGGGGCGGTGGTGGCATCACCTTCCTCCTCCCTCCTCCTCCTGCTCCCTCCTCCCTCCTCTCCCTCCTGCCTCCCTTCTCCCTCATTGTCGCCATCGCCATAATCACCACCATCATCAGCACCGTCATCATGATCATCATGATCGTCATCCTCGTCATCATCATCATCAGCATCATCATCATCATCACCATCATCGTCATCGTCATCGTCATCGTCGTCATCATCATCGTCATCATCATCACCATCATCATCATCACCATCATCATCATCATCATCACCATCATCACTTCATTCCCCTCCCGATCCTCCCCCTCCTCCTTCTCCCCCCTTTGCCCCCGTCGATCATGCTCCTCCATCTCCTGTTACAACTCCTTTACCAAAAGGGACGGCGTCGCGTACCCCGCGTCAGTTTGCGAGCGGATGATGCCCATCAGATCCGCTGCAGAAATCTCGCCGACCTCATCCTGAAACCGCAACACAGAAAATACCCAGGAACCCAGGACCACAGCAGATGCAACGCAGCAAGTGCAACTCAATGCAACACAGCAAATGCCTCTTCGCTCCTCGGATCCCTCTCCCCAGGCAGCCTCGACGGCACTGTCGGTCCCGTGCCGCTTGTAGTGGGCGAACATCATGCGTATCTTCCTGCTCTGCAGAAACCTGGGCTAGCGTTTTATATACATGGCGATAAAATAGACAATCAAAAAAGCAATCAATCAATCAATCAATGACTACATAGCCGTGTAGAAAGGCAATTGTGGGAAACTTGCGGGGCCTGGGGTAGTTTACGCGATCGCCAGCGACCCGAGCTCAAGAAGGTTGCTACCGAGCCCGACCGACCGTCCTCCTTCCTCCTTCCCTCCCCCCTCCTCCCTCCATATGTGTTTACACCACCTAAGGTGGGAAGGGGGCCCCAAGCCCCCTCGAAATGGCCCTTTTCCCTCCTCCATCCTCTCCTCCTCCCTGCCTCCTCCCTGCCTCCTCCCTCCCTCCGCCCTCCATCCTCCCTCCCTCCTCCCTCCCTCCCTCATCCCTCCTCCTTACCTCCTCCCTCCGCCCTCCTCACTGCGCGATCAAACAAAGAAGAGCCGTATCGCTTCCATCTTGGCGGGCGCCATCTTGCGGCCGTACATGCTTCTGTGCTCGCGGTGCAACTGCTTGCTGAAGGCCGCGATCCATCCCGCCTGCCGCGCGGGGGAGAGGAGCGAAAAGGAGTGGTCAAGACCTTCCGTCCCTCCCCCCAGCCTGCAATAACGCCCAACATGCACTCGGGCCTAGCAACACCATCACCCTTCCCCCAGCCTGCCACACGCAGCCCTCCTATGACCTGAACTCCCGCTGCCCAGGGCGGTCGATGGTCATTGTCGTCGTCGTCACCATCGCCGTCGTAATCTCATCATATTATGATGATGGTGGTGATGTTGATGATGATGATCATGATCATGGTCATGATGATGATGATGATGATGGTGATGATGTGCTGGTAGCGACATCATCGTCATCATCAACATCATCATCATCATCAGCATCATCACCGCCGTCATCGTCATCGTCATCGTCGTCATCATCATCATTAACATCATCATCATCATCATCATCCTTCGCCGTTGTCGTACTCCTTATCGTCAGCATCACAGCATTATCATACTATCGATATCGTCATCGTCATTCGTATCGTAGCCATCGCCATCGTTGCCATCACGATCATCGTCGTCGTCATTGTCGTCGTCATCGTCATCCTCATCATCCTCATCGTCATCATCATCATCATCATCATCATCGTCGTCGTCATCATCATCATCATCATCATCATCATGACCATCATCCCCTCCAGTCGACGCTGCGTTGCCTCCATCGTCTTCTGTGAGAACCTCGCGCCGCCGCCGATGTCGTCGAGGGCCTTCATGCAGTCCTCGAAGACCTGAGCGGACTTGGGGGGATCCTCCGTGCTCTCCTCCCTCCCGCCTCCCTCCCTCTCGTCCTCCCTCCCCTCCTGAGGGGCGCGGACCGTGCCAAACATAGTTGTTATAACGTACATACCCGCCCGTGTTCCCCCTTCCTCCTTCTCATCCTCCCCTTCTCCACCCTCTCTTCCCCTCGTTCTCCCCCTGTCTCCTCTTCTCTCCTTCCCCCTCCTCTTCTCCGAGATTTCCCAATCCCTCCTCCCAGCCTTCCCCTCCCCATCGAAGATCTCCTTCCCCTCCTCCGCACTTCCCACTGGGGCGTTGGCCGTGTACTCAGCGATACACGGTCGAGAGTCGAAGCTCGGCGGGGTATACTTGAAGTCAGGCACCGTGCTGTAGCCTCCGCCAGGGGAGGGATGATGATGATGATGCTGATGATGATGATGATGATGATGCTGATGTCTGGGATGCAATCCCCTTTGACGCCCATGTTTTCCAGAGGGGGGCTGGCAAAAGAAAAAGGCTAAGGATGGGCCGAACAGGCAAGGCTTTAAGGGCACCCGTGACGCTCGATCGCCATCATCATCATCATCACCATCATCTTCTTCATCATCGTCGTTGTCAGTGTGATTGCCATCATCGTGATCGTCGTCGTCATCCTCACTATCGGCATCAATCGTCATCTTCATCATTACAATTGCCATCATCATCACGATCGTCATCATTGCCATCATCATTGTCAACACTACCTTCTCCATTGTCTTCGTTGTCGTCATCGTCACGATCATCACCATCATCATCACCATCATCATCATCAGAATCATCATTTTCCCCCCACAGCGCGACGAGAGCTGTGCGCAGTTTTGACTCCAAGCGCTGGCGAATAGAGAGCAGAGGGGTAAACATAAAGTGGAATCAGCATTAGCATCATCATCATCATCATCATCAGCATCAACATCAGCATCATCATCATCATCATCACATCCGCCTTCATCATCACGTCACCCACCATCCTCTCTCCTTCCCTGGCGCCTTCAAGCGGGCCTGCGTCTGGCGGGATCGTCTCCTTCAGCACGGCGCCAATGATGTCCCCGTCGACCGTCGCTTTCTTGGCGTGGCGGCACGACGGTGCACGGCCGCGGACCGCCGCCATGAGGCCTAACGCGCGCTCCTCCTCCTCCTCTTCCTCCTCCTCCTCGCCCGCCTCGCAGGCCCCAGCGTAGCAGGCGGCCGAGTCTGCGCCCGAAGGCGGCACATGCCCTCCTCCTCCTCGTCCTCCTTCTCGTCCTCCTCCCCGTTCCCTCGTTCCCTTACCTCCTCGTTCCCTCTTCGTTCCCTCGTTCCTCGAGATCCTCGTCCTCCCCTCCTCATTCTTTTCTTCGCCCGCCACTATCACGTGGCCGCGGGAGCTGTAATCCGCGGTGCCGCGGAAGTGGTGCCACCACGCCGCCTACGGGGCGGTCGGGGAGGGGTTGGGGGGGCGCTCGCGCCCGAAAAAAACAAAAACAAAAAAAAAGGTGCCTCCACAGGCACGCCCGAACCATAGTCGAGCGGGACCCTGCGCCACGAGGTGCTAGCAGCTCGTCTCCTCCTCCCTCCCTCCTCTCTGATCCCTCCTCCTCCTTCTCCTCCTCCTCCGCCTCCCTCGCGCCTTCCCCTCGAGGGGTCGCGGGGCGCCCCGCCCGCGCGCGGCGGAGGGCCCGGAGGAGGGGGGGGGGGTCATTGGGTTTCCTGGCCTCCTCACCCCGTTCCTCCCTCCTCCTTCCTCGCCCTTCCTCCCTCCCCTTCCTCCTTCCCTCGAGATCTTCCTTCTCACCCAGGCCAGAAAAGAGGAGACGGGGGGGGAGAGGAGAGGGGGAAGAGGAGGGGGAAGGGGAAGAGGTGAGGGAGGGGAGGGGAGGGGGAAGGCGGGTGAGGGGAGAGGATCTAGGCCCCCGCCCCTGGGCCCCCCGCCTCTCGCCCTCGCGCGGCCCGCGCGGCGCGGCCCTGGGCCCGCGCGGCTCGCGCGGCTCGCGCGGCACGCGCGGCTCGCACGGCGCCGCCTCCTCTTCCTCCTCCTCCTCCTCCTCCTCCTCCTCCTCCTCCTCCTCCTCCCCCCCCCTTCCCACCTTCCGTCCATCCCGCCGCATCCGTCTTCCCGTTTTTTGTGCTGCAAATCTTGGTATCGTCCAAGTCCACTGCGCTAGCTATATATATATATATATATATATATATGTATATGCATATGTGTGTATATATATGTATATATGTGTGTGTGTATATATATATATATACACCAGGCGAGTAAAGCGCGACCCCGTAAACAAAGAAAATCAGGGCTGGCGAGAATATTCAACATAATCAGAACAATCAAACAAAATCAGTACTAAACAGGCGTCCTGAAAAAATCAGGACCGCAACATGTCTGGGTTCTGGAGGAGGATCATCCTCCGGCACCACCGAGCCATCCTGGATGGCTCGGTGGTGCCGGAGGCCACTGGACTGCTGCTGCAGCGGCGTTCCACAGGACAGGCCCAGGCTTCGGCTGCGACGCTGCCGCTTCGTGAGTTAGTGCGCCCATCGGCCCGACTGCCGGAGGAGGGCCGAGAGGCTCTGGATCGTGCTGTGGCTGGGGCGGTAGGGCTTGACCGAGCCCGGCTGCGACAGCTGCTGTCGTGGCCTCCTGCTGACCGCTCGATGCGCCCGGCTCTGCCGAGCTGATGGAGCTGCTGTCGTCCGCGACGCTGGTGAGTGCCGCCTCGCGCCGAGCGAGGAACTGCTCCGTCGCCTCCGGCGCTGCCCGCTTGCCCTCTGAGTTCTTCTTGCCTGCCGCCGCTAGGCGGATCGCGACTGCCAGCACGAGAAGGCGGGCCATCATCGCTCGTATGGATAGGTGAATCGTGGAGGTCGGTCTCGTCGCTGGCTGACGAGATATCTCTGAGTCGCATAGCCTGGCTCGAGCCGAAATAGGCCACGGAATGAGGACGGCTCGGAATCTCTGAACGCGGGCCCTGGCGACAGCTCGAAAGCTCCGAGACCTTCTTAGTGTCGTTGTCGTTCTGGATCGTATCCTTAGCTTTCCCCCCGGATATTAAGGCCCGAACTGACTTATCAGGCGAGTGCTGAGCCCGTGACTCTTTGATCCCCGCGTGAGCGTACGTACCTAGCTTCCCAAGCACGCCCATGATGATCATGACCCTGAGGAACGCCCTGATGAGTCCTTCTTGGAGTCCCGAGAGGCCTAGTAGTCCTAAGAAGACGATGATCACTGGGGAGATGATGCACCCGCGAGGATCTCCGGATTCCAGCATCTCCGGAGGCGAGCCTTCGCCCATCACGAAAGACTCGGCCGTCAAAAAAGGATACTTGCGCAAGGCAGGCTCGGGAATCTCGAGAGGCATGTCGAGGGCTTCTATAATCTCGACCATGCGGTGTCCCGACCTGGGCCGAAACGCGTCGACCTGCAAGCCCAGAAACTCCGAGGCCATGCGATTGCGCGGCAGGTCGATGACACAGCCGAGAAACTCGAGAAGATTAACTGACAAGATGTGCGAAACCTCGTCGAACAGAACCGTCGTCTCGATCACGCCTAGAGATCGGCCGAGACACAGCGGAAACAAGATGGATGTGACCACCTTGGCGGGTCCTCCTACGCCATGAGCTGCACGAGGCCTCTGAAACTGGCGGGGGAGAATCTCAGACTTAAGGCCTACTGCTGCGAGAGCTCTGGGTTCTCGATTGAGCGATGCCAGTCCCACCAGGTCGTTGCCTGCACCAGGATCGACGAGAGCCTGAGTCTCGCGCGCCACCAGGTAGATCTCGCTCTTTTTCATCTCAACGACGGCCTTCCTCCAGTCCGCCAGCATGTCCATCGTGATGGGCAGCGCGCGCCGCGTGAACACGTAGGCGTTCGTGGTGCGATTCCTGGCAAACTTCGGGTCGTCCTTGTTCGGGCACTCCTTGTGCCAGTGGCCCTTCTCCTCGCAGATGCCACACCTCGTTATCTTCATCAGCTGCTGCGGTGCCAGCTTGGACCGTCGCCCTCCACGGCCGCCGGCTTTGCCGCAACCCTCGCCCCGAGTGGCAGGATGTCTGGCATGAGGTGGGGGAGGTCTGTCGCGTCCGAGCTGTCTCGGACGGGTGCCGTAGCACTCGCGATCCTTCCTGGCTGCTCTCTTGATATCTTTGTTTTGCTTCCACGTCCTCTTGCTGGACCGGCTCACCTCTAGCATGGCGAGGGCCTCCTCGACCTGGGACTCGTCCAGATCCAGGTCCTCCAGCTCGGCGAGGATAGCCTCCTCGTCTCCCTCGCCCCCCTCTTCGTCGTCGTCGAAATCTCCGTCCTGGTCATCGTCTGGATAGAGCTCGCTGTCCGAGACACCACCGTCACGACCCACCGGGTACGAGGGATGAGGAGGGGGGGGGGAGCTGCCTAGTTGGTCGCCGAGACCTTTGTCGTCGGCGGCCGCCATCGCTCCTCTACTGCTGCCGGGTAGCAGCCGCTCAGAGCCCGACGCGTCCATCTGACGCAGGGCCCAGCTCACGCTGTCGAACTCCACCTTGCCGTGAGTCATGGTCTTGAGGTTCTGGAGTCCCTGGGCCGACAGACCCGCGCCTTCTTCTAGAAGAAACCCTTTAACTCGAGCAGGTAGCACCAGATCATGCGCCTCTGCTTCCAGAAACTGACGCTCACGTCGGGCCACGTACTGAGTCAGGCTCTCTTTGTGTTCACGAGTGGCCTCGAACAACGCGTGACGGCCTGCACGTCTAAGATCGTCTCCTTCGCGCTCTCCGATCATGAGATCCATGCGCTTCAACACTGCCTCGAGCCAGCCGTTACCAGACAACGTTGACTCGAGAAGATCGTCAAACTGCACCTGCATAGGATAGCCGAACAACCGTAGAAACTTTTCCGACCTACACTTCACCGGCACGTCGGTATTCTTTTTCCATCTGCTGATTGCCTTACGCCACTGCCTGTAGTGTGTCCAGCCTGGCCAGGCTGGGGGATCTGAGTAGTCGCCTTTCGTGTGCTCAGACCAACCACCACCACCACTGCGGCGCCAGTCGCTCCATCCCCAGTCGTCGATCTTCTTCCACGACTGGTCCTTCTTGTCCCATGTGTCCTGGCGCCACTCACTCCATTTGTCCGTACTCCAGTCGGCCCCTGGCTTGGCGTCCGCGGTCCTGGCCGCTTCAGCTGCTGCCTGCCAGGGGTCTACTGGTTTGGGCTCGTCCTTGGTGGTCTTGGAGTCGATGCCGCCGCCGCCGCTGCTGCTGCTGGCTGCGGCCTCGGCCATGGTCTCACGCACGACTCCTGCCACCATCTGCTTCAACTGATCCGTAGAAAGGGTGACCGCTCCAGCTTCAGCTCCCGGCGTGCCCCGCACGCCCTCTTCGCCGATGGCTGGGATCACCGCCGCCGTGAACTCCTCTGCGGACATCCCGCAGTCCGCGCCGCCCGTCGGCGCGAGCCCGGCCTGCCGGAGGCGCGCGATTGGTGACCGACCTCGACCTTCACGGTCGGTCGTCACCGCCCATGGCTCTCCGGCTGGACCAGGCTCCGCTACCAACTGTGGCAGCAGCAAGCGCATGCAGATGCTTTTCCCTTGTGCCAAAGCGTCAAGTTACGAGAGACGCTCTGGACTCATAAACTAAATGCAAACCTATGTCGTGAAATCTGCTCTCCTGTTACACAGGGGCACGACCGACTCTCCCCCCCCGGGGCCACGGCCCCTGGGGGGGGCGGTGGCGGGGGCGCGGCAGCGCCCACGGAGAATACCGTCGGGCTGGAGTGGAGAAGACGCGCAAGAGGACGAGGCCCTTCCGATGGCCACACCGCCGCAGGAATGCACGAACGCATGGGCCGCGAGGCACAGGACACGATGGGCACCCGTGATCTGGCGGGGCCGACCCACGAATCGGCGCCCGAGGGCCACACGGCCGCAGTAATGCGAGAGAAGGCATGGGCCGCGAGGCACAGGACACGATGGGCACCCGTGATCTGGCGGGGCCGACCTGCGAACCGGGGCCGACTGCACTCCTGCCGACAGCGCCCCCTCAGCGCCCAGGAGGAGGGAGGAGCCGGGGGCCGCATCCTAGCGGGGCCGGCGCTCCTCCCCGAGCTGCCCGAGATCACCCCCGCGAGGGGCACGGCCGACTCTCCCCCACTGGGGCAGCAGCCCCCTGGGTGGGGGGCGGGGGCGGGGCAGCATCCTTGGAGGATGCTCCTGCCGACAGCGCCCAGCGCCCAGGAGGAGGGAGGAGCCTGGGGCTGCATCGTGCTGGGGGCCTGCTCCTCGCCCTGGCCGAGAGCCCCCCCCACCCCCACCCAGCGCCTGCTCCATCCAGAAGTCCCGCTGCTCCTGCAGGAACCTCGCGACGTCCTCGCAGCGCCTGATCTGCTCCTTGACGTCCTCCACCGGCTCCCGCTCCCGCCCCCTTCCCCTCCCCCCTCCCCCCTTGCCTCCCACCCCTCCTCCCCCCCTGCCTCCCTCCCCATTGCTCCCCCCTTTCCCCGCCCCCTCTCCTCCTCCCCATCCTCCTGATCCTCCTCCTCGCCCCCCCCCTCCCCAGCAAGTCCGCGACCTCGGTCGCCAGTCCTTGGAGCGAGGCGAGGCGATAACGACAGCGCTGGAGAGTGCGAGCCGGACGCCGAGCTCGGATAGTTTGGGCTGGACCCCGCATTTGGCGCAAACCAATACCATACCACGCCTCCTCGCCCCCCACCCCTCCTCGTCCCCCTCGTCCCCCTCCTCGTCCCTCCTCGTCCCTCCTCGTCCCCCTCCTCGTCCCCCTCCTCGCCTCCCACCCTGCTCCTCCTCCTCGGCCCCCCCTCCTGTTCCTGCCGCTGCTCCCCACCAGCCGCCCCGCGATCCCTGCTGCTGCCCCTGCCCCCCTTCCTCGCCCTCCCCACCTCCCCTCCCCCTATCACCCCACCTCACCCTACGCCAATCTCGCACCCCACTGCCCCATCCAGCCCTGCTCCCCCATCCAGCTCCCCTCCCCTTCGCGTCCTCCTCCTCCTCCTCCTCCTCCTCCTCCTCCTCCTCCTCCTCCTCCTCCTCCTCCTCCTCTTCCTGATCTTCCTCCTTCTCATCCTCCTCCTCCGCCTCCCCCTCCGCCTCCGCCTCCTCCTAGCCATTGTTGCTCAAGCCATTTCAGCTCAAGGCTCAAGCCATCAAGGATCAAACCATCCAAAATCCATGAACGCTTACTGTCTCACTCCAGGACTCTCGAAACTCACCCCTCACGCTCCATACCCCCGTGGACGGCATCCGGAAGGCGATGTTCCCTACAGGTTCCACCCTGGAGCGCAAGGAAGCTAGAGAATGAGAAGGGCTGGGTGAAGAACATGGACCTGTGAATTAGACGTCAGGAATCAGGCTCTCGTCGACGCCATGGCTATGCGCGTGAGAGACACCATGGACGGCACATTTGCGAAGTACGAGAAGTCATCTCAGGAAACAATTCAATAACGTTCAGAACCGGATCGATGAATTGAAGGAGGATTCAGCGAACCAGTTCAAAGTATCCAGCACCACAGCTCAGCAAGTACAGCAACTACAGCAAACGATCGACCACATTAAGACAACGAGCATTAGCATCACGAGCAACCAGAACTTGCAGCTAATGGCGCACGGCTGCAATGGCATTTCCGAGGCTACTGTCGTCGAGTACCTGGAACAGCTCATCAAGGGCAAGAACTGCGAAGGACGTGTCCAGAACGTAGTCTGCATGACAGGGCCACCACCGTCGGATACATCGGATTTCAAACGCTAGCGAGCAAGAACGGCTTCCAAAGACAATGAGGGAGAGCCCGCCACAGGCACAGGCTCCAGAAACACCTCCAGATACTGAAGGGGCCCCAGGACACACAAATAAATACACACAAAGAAGAATATTGCCCATATTTTCCTATATTTTCCAGGTCTCTGTCTTCCCCCTCACGTCCCATATTTTCCCATATTTTTGGGGGAATCGACGATTCATTGTGTCTGTGTGTTTTTTCCCCTCCTGAGATACCACAATGCGCTTCACAAACAACCTCGCGAAAACGGAACGCCGCAACATGAAACAGCTGTGACTCACCAAATACCCCCTCAACCGCCTCTTGGGCGTCCCACTCGACGACGTCCGCATCGTGTGGGAGGAGCTTGTGGTGCAAGTGTTGAGGAAAACCTGTGGCCACCATCGTAAACGGGGAGATCGAATGTTCTGGCCGGGGAAACGAAGTGAAGTGTCAGTCACCCCATCGGTGCGTGAATGGGATGCTACAGGCCCCCAGAAACCAACTGGCCAAACGGGTCTGGCATCGTGCCGGCCCGAACAATCTTGAAGAATTCCTTGCGAATCTGGTGTTGCCTCACACCTCTCGTCGACTCCTCTGTGCCCAGCTTGGTGGTGAAAGCCCGCCGTCTCCTATGAACGCCAGTGTTTTCCAGAGTTCGATGCGAGACCAATTCGGCAATCTATTTTGTTAACCCCCCCTTCTCGAATGTTATCTTCGGACCGCAAGGATAAGGATGAGTATGAGGAGGAAGAGGTGAGAGGTGGAGGAGGAGGAGAAAAAAGGATAGCAGCATCCCCTGGGACTCCGATGTCAGCAGTCAGTCGCTCAGTCAGTCAGTCAGTCAGTCAGTCAGTCAGTCAGTCAGTCACGAGGAGAAAGAGAAGGACGAGGGAGGCGCAGTGGGTGGAGGCGGAGGAGGAGGAGGTTGACGAGGACCAGTGTAAACCCAAGACCCATCACCGATGTTGCAACGACTCCTCCCTCCAAGCTCCCTCTCCATATCTCCCTACCAAGATGCATTTCCACCGAAGGAGGTGCCCCGTTGGAAACCAACCGTTTGAAAATCCTGCGCTGCGCAAGAGCACCCTTCCTGGGACTTCCAGCGCCGCGACTCGCCGTTGTCTCGACGCTCCTGGATCGTGCCAGCACACCATCTCAGGGATTCACCACCACGAATCAACGTCACTGCTGCGCCCTGACAGTCCGACATCGTGCCAAAATCATATTTCTGGGACGTCAGCCATGAGAAGCCTTGAAACAGCTGTAAACTCTGAAAACGGATGCGCGCGGCGCTGGGGCGCGAGCCACATTTTGAAAAAGAATCGCCCTTCATCCGTGAAGCTGTGAAACTGTGAAGCTCTTGCATTTTTAACACGAATGCGCGCGCCGCTAAAGCGAGAACACCATTTTGAAAACGGCCCGCCCTCCATCCGTGAAACTCTTGCAATTCTTTGAAACGAATGTGCGCGGCGCTAAAGCGAGAGCCACATGTTGAAAACAACCTGTCCTCAATCCGTAAAAATTGTTAAACTGACAACAGTAGTGCAATAGATTGTCCTCAACCCTCAGATAACATAGTGACGACCTACCAGACCACCCCAACCCAACCTGGAGACCGAATTTCGTGTTGGGGGGGGGGGTACGGGTCCCAAATGTGTTTTTGTTCCATGTTCCCCGATCCCCCCGCCACCGCAAATGGAGGGCAAATTGAAGCCTTCGGGTTGTGTTGGGGTGGTTTGGTGGGTGGTGATAAAACGGATGTGCGCCGTGCCCAGGCGAGAGCTATACATGTTGAAAGCGACCCGCCCTCCACGCGTGAAACTGTTGCACATTTGAAGCATCAGAATCATACATGGTGAGGAAGTCTCAAGCGAAACGCCCCGCCCGCCCTTCCGATTGGCCTCGGGGTGCTCCAGGGAGGAGTTATTCATAAGGAAAAGGAATGGAGGAGGGCGTGGTGTCCAGTTGGCGCCCTCCGCCTCCGACACCCCCCGGCGGCGTCCTCCATCGGCTCCTGCGGCACGCCCAGGGGCGTCAGCGCCGACAGTATCAACTCCACAGTCGCTGCCCCCGAGCCTGGGCCCTGGCCGGCCCGGGCCTGCGGCGGAGGGAGGGCAGACTGCCACCCCTTCCCGAGGACAAAGCGATCCGGTTTCAGGCCCGCTTCGGCTTTCGGCCCGTCTCGGCTTCTGCCCGATTCGGGACTGGCCTTCCTGGAGCCACTCGCTCCACTCGTGCGTCGAAGCTGCGTCGAACGTCAGTCGATTTGGGTCGAACCTGAATCGAACCTGAGTCGAACCTGAGTCGAACCTGAGTCGAACTTGAGTCGAACTTGAGTCGAACTTGAATCGAACTGGGGTCGAACAGATCCGTTAGGTGGGCTCCAGGAAGGTCCCCGAAACGAGCATCGAAGGAACGGGCCCGAGGCAACACGGGGCCGAAGCCGCAGGCGGCCTCCTCCTCAGGCGTGCAGCGCGCGGAGAAACTCGATGCGAGAAGCGCTCCCCACCTCAGCCTCGGCTATAGGGGGACAACTTCGTTAACACGAATGCTCTGTACTGTTCACCACCTCTGTACCGTTCACCACCTCCCAGAGGCATTCCCTGACATCCTCATCTTGCCGTTGCAGAATGTGTGTGTGTGTCGCCCAGAACCAGGGGCTGCCTGGAAGGGACAAAAAAAAGGGGGCCCTCGCCGGGCCCTGCAGTGCGCAACTCAAGGCATCGGGTGTCTGAGTGCACCGCTCCTTCTCCTCCTCGTCCTCCTCTTCGTCGTCCTCCTCCTTCTCATACTCGTCGTGGTCCTCCTCTTCCTCCTCGCTCGTCCTCGCTCCGCCTCCTTCTGCTCCTCCTGCTCCTCCTCCTCCTCCTCCACCCCCCCTCCTCCTCCTCCTCCTCCTCCTCTCTTCCTCCTCCTCCTCCTCCTCCTCCTCCCTCTCCTCCTCCTCCGCCCTCCTCCTCCTCCTCCTCCGCCTCCTCCTCCTCCTCCTCCTCCTCCTCCTCCTCCTCCTCCTCCTCCTCCTAGGGGGGGAGGGAGGAAGTGCTGCGAGCTGCCACGCCGGCGCGGGGCCGAGCGCCCAAGGCGCACCCCAACAGAAGCAGGGGCGGAAGGCCAACCAGGACATCCCGCCAACCTGCTTGGCTCAACCCGCGGCCCCCAAGGGGGTCTCGACCGCTTCCCTGGGGACAGAAGTTCGTCTTGGATCCGTACATACGTACATGCAGACATACAGACATGCACACATGCACACATATATTTACAGACATACATAAATACATGCACATATGCATACGCGCATGCACACAAACATATATATATATATATAGATAAGTAAATCTTTAGATTTGTACATATAGATAGGTATTTAGGTATATGTATATATACATATATAGCATAGATATGTATATATGGATAGTTAGATCGACAGATATATAGATAGATGGATATCTATATATATGTACATCGATATATAGATATATAAAATGGTAGATCTATAGGTAGCTATAGATATATATATATATAGAAAGATATATAGATATATCGATACATAGATAGATCGATAGATAGATAGATAGATATATGGATATAGATAGATAGATATATAGATATATATAGATAGATAGATATATAGATATATATATATATATGCATACAGATATATGTTAGATATATAGATAGATATATAGATAGACAGATATATATAGATATAATAGCTATATATATGTATATATATAGATAGATAGATAGATAGATAGATATATCTATAGATAGATAGATAGAGATAGATACGTTTATGTTCATCCATATATGTATATACACTAGAACCACCGCGCGCGCTTCGCGCGCGCTCAGTTTCTAGCAGGCCCCAGGCCTGCTCGAATTCACTGCTCCACTGAAGTAGTGGACCACAGTCTACGCATGCCAATCTGCATTCCGAAAGGCCTTCGAGGAAAATGGTTGTGTAGGGGGGCGGAGGCCGTATGAATCAAATTCCCAGAAGGCCTTCTGGGAGCATGGGTTTGGGGGGCGTCTTGGGTAGCCTGTTGGGGCGTGCCGTCGTCGTCGTCGTCGTCGTCGTCGCCGTCGTCGTCGTAATGTCGTCGTCGCCTATTGGGGCGCGCCGTCGTCGTCGTCGTCGTCGTCGTCGTCGTCGTCGTCGTCGTCGTCGTCGTCGTCGTCGTCTTCTTCGTTTCGTCGTTTCGTCGTCGTCGTCGTCATCGTCGTCGTCGTCGGTTCAAGAGGGCACTTGGGGCAACTTTGTGCGAAACGATCTCCGGAGGGTCGCGAGAAGGCGATCAGTCATGTTCCTGATATCAACTTCCCAGACAACTATCCTGTAGCATGATGGCACTTCGAAGCCTCCAGAGACTCGCGGGCCCACGATGAACCATGTCCCCGGAAGGCTTTCTGGGGACATGGTTTGTTGGGGTGTGTGGGGTCTCTTGGGCGTTCCCTGGGGGCCCCTTGGGGGCCTCTGGGAACTCTCGGGCCCATGATGAACCATGTCCCCGGAAGGTTCCTGGGGACATGATTTCTTGGGGTGTGTTGGGGGGCATCTTGGGCGTTCCCTGGGAGCCCCTTGGAGGTCTCTTGGGGCTTCCTGGGGGCCTCTTGGGCGCCTCACGGGGCTTCGTGGGAGCCTCTTGGTGGCCTCTGGGGACTTACAGGCGGCCTCTAGGGCCAGAGACCTCGAAATATCAGTTGGCGGTTCACTCTGGGCCCTCTCTCGGGGAGCTCTTTGGGCACAATTGGGTTGTCTGGGGAGCCTCCTGGGCCGTCTTGGGGCCCTCTTCGGGGCCTCGTGGCCCGTCTTGGAGCGATCTGAAGGGCCTTCGAGCGAGGCCGTGAGGGAGCGCTGGGAAGCGGGGAAAGCGAGAACGCTTAAATCCTTCAAAAAACCATAGGAAAATTTGTGAATCTTGCCTCCCAGGGCACTCTTGGGGAGCCTCTTGAGTCCGTCCTGGAGCGTGTTGGAGACCTCTTGGGACCGTCTAGGGCCCTCTCGGGACCTCCATTAGCCTGTCGTGGCCTGCTTCGGGGCGGGCCCGGGCCGCCTCGGGACCCCTCTGGGCCTTCTCTTGGCGCGCTCTGGGGGCACACTTGGGTTGTCTGGGGAGCCTCCTGGGTCGTCTTGGGGCCCTCGTCGGGGCCTCGTGGGCCTTCTTGGAGCGATCTGAAGAGCCTCCGAGGCCGTGAGGGAGCGCTGGAAAGCGGGAAAAGCGAGAACGCCAAAATCCAAAACACTCGGAACATGAGCGAATATTGCCTTCCAAGGCCCTCTTGGGGAGCCTCTTGAGTTCGTCCTGGAGCGTGTTGGAGTCCTCGTCGGCTGTCTTGAGGGCATCTTGGGCGTCTTCGGGACCTCGTGGGACCGTCTTGGGCCCTCTCGGGACCCCCTTAGCCTGTCGTGGCGTGCTTCGGGGCGGGCTCGGGCCGCCTCGGGAGCTCTGGATCCCCCCCCCGCAACCCCCGGTTGGCACCGATGGGGGGAACAGGGGATAGAGAATCATGTTCCCGGGAAGCTTTCCGGGAGCATGATTCGTTCGGCTAAGAGGGGGGCCTCTGGGGGCTTACCGAGGGGCGCTTGTTGGCCTTGTCGGCAAGCCAATTGGAAACATGGATGGGGCGGTGGGCGGAAGCCCAAGGAATCATGTTCCCGGAAAGCTATCTGGCAAATACGATTTGTCGAAGTGTCTTGGGGGCCCGCAGGGGGCTTCCCTGGGGGCCCCTTGGGGGCCTGTTCCGGGGGGCCTCTTGGGAGCCTCACGGGGCTTATTCGGAGCCTCTTGATGGCCTCCGGAGGCGTCCTAGGAGCCTCTCAGGCCAAAAACCTTGAAATGTCGCGCTCGTCGGGTCCTCTTGGGTCGCTCTTGGGGCTCTCTTGGGGCGCTCTCGAGGCCCTCTTGACTTATCTGGGGAGCCTCCTGGGCCGTCTCTGGGCTTTCTTGGGAGCCTCTTCGGCCGTCTTGGAGCGATCTGAAGGGCCTCTGACGCGGTCCAGGACCGTGGGGAGGCGGAACATGGGAGAGCGAAAAAATGCTTCGAAAACCATTGGAAAATGTATGATTTTCTGCTTCTGGGGCCCTTTGGAGGGGCCTCTGGAGGCGCTCTTGGGTCGTTTTGGCGGCGTCGTCGGCCATCCTGAGGCCATCTTCGGCATGTCCGGGGCCTCTGGGGGCTGTCTTGTGGGCGTCCTCGGAACCCAGAAATCATGTTCCCAGAGAGGCTTCCAGGAACATGATTTCGAACGAAGCCCTCTTGGGCCTCCCTGAGGCAGTCTTGGGGGCCTCCTGGGCCGGCTTCGGGGCCTCTTGGGCCGTCTTGGGGAGTTCTGTGAGCCGCACGGGACGATCTTTTTGGGCCGTCTTGGGCCCTCTTCGGTCTCTCTTGGGCTGTCTTGGGGCTCCTCGGGGGCGTCTGGGGCACTGTGAAGACGAAGCAAACGAGTATGCTGAAAACGTGCGTTTTACGACGGGAATGGGCAGATGTTTTCCTCTTGAAGGCCCTATTGGGGCCCTCTTCGGCCATCTTCAAGCCATCTCGGGCCCTCTGGGGCCTCGCTGAAGCTGCCTTATGGGCCTCTTGGGCGTCATCGGAACCCGGAAATCCTGTTCCCGGAGAGGCTTCCGGGAACATGATTTCGAACGAGGCCCTCTTGGGCCTCCCTGACGCCGTCTTGGGGGCCTCCTGTGAAGACGAAGGAAGCGAGTATGCTGCAAATGTACGTTTTACGAAGGGGATGGGCAGATTTTTACCTCTTGAAGGCCCTCTTGGGGCCCTCTTCGGCCATCTTCAAGCCATCTCGGGCCCTCTTGGGCCTCGCTGAGGCTGTCTTGTGGGCGTCTTGGGCGTCCTCGGAACCCAGAAATCCTGTTCCCGGAGAGGCTTCCGGGAAAATGTCGAACGAGGCCCTCTTGGGCCTCCCTGAAGCCGTCTTGAGGGCCTCCTGGGCTGGCTTTGGAGCTTCTTGGGCCGTCTCGGGGGGTTCCGTGAGCCCCACAGGACGACCCTTTTGGGCCGTCTTGGGCCCTCTTGGGTCTCTCTTGGGCTGTGTTGGGGCTCCTCGGGGGCGTCTGGGGCACTGTGAAGACGAAGCAAACGAGTATGCTGAAAACGTGAGTTTTACAAGGGGAATTGGCAGATGTTTGCCTCTTAGAGGCCCTCTTGGGGCCCTCGTCGGCCTTCTTAAAACCATCTCGGGCCCTCTTGGGGCGCTCTTGGGCGTCTTCGGGGCCTCTTCAGGCTTTCTTGACCATCTGTACGGCCCGCGTGGCCTGCCGCGGGCAATTTGGAAGCGGCCCTGGGCTGTCCCGGGGGGTCTGTGACCCGCCAAAGGTCCCGGGGGGCGCCCATGGAGGATGGCGTCACCGGCCGGGCCCCACCCCCCGGCCTCCTCCGATATATATATATATATATATATATATATATATATATATATGTGTGTGTGTGTGTCTGTGTGTGTGTGCGTGTGCATGTCCACGCATTCATGTACGTATGCAAAGTCGCGCCACAACATGCATAACCGCATGCTCATGTACATAAACACGTACATAGACGTATGCATGTTTGCGTGCGTAGGCATATATGTATAAACATATGCGTATGTGTACACACCTGTATATACACAAAAACAAATAGGCATACGCAGACACATACATTAACATCGAAACACACACACATACATGTGTAGATATATGTGTGCACATACATGAACACACACCTATACATGTGTACTTGTGCACATACATATATGTATGCATGTATATATATATATATGTATACATGCGTATGTACATGCACATGCCTCTGCATATGCATCTACAGCTACCTGCACACACACACACACACATGTTTATATGTGCATGTGTACATTACATACCTGAAGCGCTCATACGCAGAAACGCATATACAGCATAGTATCTACATACAGTACAAACAACACACACACATCACACATGTGCACACCTGTGCGCAAACACAGAACAACAACACGCAACAAACAACAGCTGAACAAGTCGTATCGGTGGAGATCTGGGGAGGGCACAAAGGCCTTGGCTTCGGCGGCAGGGGGGCCGGCAGGGACGCTCGGCGCCGCCGCCTGCGAGGCGGCCGCAGCGCCGCCGGTCGCTGCGGCCGCCGCCGCCGCCAGGCCGCCCTTGCGCGGCGCGGCGGTCGCAGCCCGCCGCCGCTGCGAGGGCCGCCGCCGATCGGCGCCGCGCCGCGCGCACCGGCTGCCGCCGCGGGCGCGCCGCCGTGGCTGCCGCAGCGGCGCCGCGCGGCGCCGCCGCGGCGGCGGCGGGCGCCGCGGCCGCCTGCGGAGTCGCCGCGGCGCCGCGGCCGCGGCCGCCGCCGCCGCCAGGCCGCCCGCGCGAGGCGCGGCGGCGGGCGCGGCAGCTGCCGCGGCGGCCGCGGCGAGGCCGCCAGCGGGCGGGGCAGGGCGTGCCGCGGCCGCCTCTGGGGAGCGCCGCAAATGTGCTGCGGGCTGAGGCGGGTTGGGATTTCTTGAAGCCAGAGACGACTTCAAAAAAACACGCTTACAGAGTGCATCGGCCTCTCGTCCTTGCAGGTGCGAATCCTGAGCCAATGTGGGGTCAAGCCTGGTGAGGCTGAGCGTGGCGAAATATAGCAGCACACGCCAAGAGGGGCAGCGAACCTGCACACAAGTGACTTGGAGGCTCTCCTCGGCGGCGGCTCGCACAACATCCCCCCATAGTCTACCTCACGCACGCCGAGGATACGGCAAAATTAAGCCTGGCGCGGCGCAGCCCTGGCCCCCTCGGAGACATCGCTGAGGCGCAGGGACTGGGCGCCGCGCCATCCGCTCACTCGTCAGCATAGGGGGATCCGGTTCTTGTAAAGATGATTTGGTCGGGGGCGGCAGGACTAGGTCGGGCGTGTCCTCCTACAGGCGGATTTTGGACGAAAAAGAGAACAGACCCTACAAATCTTCAAACAATCTTCAAACATGGTCCAAGAGGGACCCAAGTCGGCCCAGAAACGCCCCCCAAACGGCTTCCGACGGCGTCAGACTGGCCAGGAGCCCACCAAGATGGCCGAAGTTGGCTCGAAGCTGGCCTTCTCTTGCCTTCCCGGAGGCCCTCTTGGAGGCCCTCTTGGGCCGTCTTGGGCACACGTTCTGGCACACGTTCTGGTCCAGCAATCGTCCTCTGGCACGTTCTGGCTCTCGCCATCGCTCGGACGTCCACTCCCTGTGTTTTTTGTCGGTTTCGTGCGTGGCTTTTTTTCGACAAATGATCATGGATGCTCCTCGATGGTCCTCGCCGAAGGAAAAATGCACACCTCCGAGCGATGCCAAGGGCCTATTCTTTTTTTGTTTGAGTCCTGCGCCTCCTGTAGGCCCACGCCCGACCTCGCGTAACTAGGAGGCCCTCTTGGAGGCTGTGCCTTCCCGGAGGCCCTCTCGGAGGCCCTCTTGGGCCGTCTTGGGCACACGTTCGGGCCTATTCTTTTTTGTTGAGTCCTGCGCCTCCCGTGGAGGAGGGAGGCACACGCCCGACCGCGCGGCGGGGCGCGGCGCCCCCGTGCGCGCGCTCTTCCCGCCAGGGGCCCCTCCGAGAGGGCGGCGCCCGTGGGGGGGGCGAGGGCGGGCGCCGGCGAGGGAGGGGGGGGAGGGCGGACGGTGGCGAGGGAGGTCGGGGAGGCCAGGGAGGCGAGGGTGGCGAGGGAGGGGGGAGGTCGGGGAGGGAGGGGGGGAGGTCGGGGAGGGATGGAGGCGAGGGAGGTCGGGGAGGGATGGAGGCGAGGGAGGTCGGGGAGGGATGGAGGCGAGGGAGGTCGGGGAGGGATGGAGGCGGGGGGGTGTTGGGGAGGGATGGAGGGATGGGCGGTGGCGAGGGTGGCGAGGGAGGGGGGGAGGGAGGGCGGTGGCGAGGGAGGGGGGGAGGTCGGGGATGGACAGACCTCCCTTGAGCAGAACGCGGTGTAGTGAGAAAACGACCTCGGGCCCAAACCTGGCGGGCGCACGCCTGGAAAAGGACGGCCGCGGCGCCCTCTCGAGGACCCGACAACGGACAACTCACGAATCGACGCGTCAGGGTGGGAGGTCTGTCCACCCCCGAGGAGGGCCTGCCTGGGAGGAGCCTCGCAGCTTTGGCTCCGGCCGTCTGGCTCTGTAGGAGCCCCGAAGACGCCGAAGGGCAAACGGCTCGGCGACAGCACACACACACACACACACACACACACACACTTTTTCTCTTTGTTTTTCTTTTCTTGTTCGGTCGCGTGCGCGAGCGAAAGCGCAGGCGGAGACAGAAGCTGTCCGGGGACACACACACACACACACACACACACACACACACACACACACACACATTTGACCTTCTCACCGGCAGGAGGCCAGAACCCGCACACGCGGGCCGAAAAGATGTCGCAGAAGTGGGAGAACATCATCCTTCAGGGGAGGGCCCTCCTTGGGAGAGCAGCGCAGTTTTGGCTCCGGCTGTCTGGCTCTATAGGGGCCCCGAAGACGCCGAAGGGCAAACAGCTCGGCGACAGCACACACACATACATTTTACCTTCTCACTGGTCACGGTTCGACGTGCAAATCAGCCTACAAAAAGTACGCAGCCTTGACCCAAGCGTGGTAACACGCGAGTTGCGGAAGCTACACTTGCGCTGGTTCCATGCGAAAGAGCCGAAGATGAGACTCATCCTAACTAGGATAGGTAGGAGGCCAGAGCCCGCACACTCGGGCCAAAAAGGTATCGCAGAAAGGGGGAGACATCATCCTTTCAGGGGAGGGCCTTCCTGGGGAGAGCATCGCAGTCTTGGGGCAGTCCTCGCCGACTCCCGGAGGCCTTCTCGCCTCGGGCGGCTCTCCAGCGACTGGCGCCTCGCCGACGGCGTTCCTGGGGGCGCCCGGGCCCTCGCGGAAGTTCCCTCGCAGTCTTCGGCCCCTCTGGGGGCCCGCGCTGGGCCCCGGGGCCGTCAAAAAACGGCTCGGGACGAAGAGCCGGCCCGGGCCAACATCGGCTGTCTGGAGAGGGCGAGGCGGAAGAGGAGGGGGGGGGGGGAAGGGCGGTGGAGGAGAGGAGGAGAGGAGAAGGAGAGGAGAAGGCTGTGGTGTCCAAGCGGCGTGTGTCCAGGCGTCGTGGTTGCCTTCACTCCTCACAGGTGTTCGTCACGAGGGTAACAAGCCGATGAGCATAGCAACAAATGGGCGCGCGGAGAATCGACAACTCGGGGAAACCATAACTAACACGCGAACAACACATATCGACATATGGTTGAGACTCCAGAAATCACAATATCTAGTTAGGTGGCAACACCCAGACCCTACCTCCACCAACCATCGATTCTCCTGATTCGATGGCAGGCGGGGGTAGGGTTCGGATTTCGCAATGTCTGCGACGAAATTGAATCCTATTCCAGCTGCCCATCGAGTTGCCTGAATCGTTGATCGGCGACGGTTGTGTTCGGCGTCGGCGGCGCCCTTGCGGACGGATCGGGAGGAGGAAGAGCAGCAGCAGGGATGGGCGACGCCGATTGAGGTGCTCCCGCACGCGGTGTGCAATATCAACTGCAAAGGGGGACCGGGGGACCGGGGGAAAAGCGCAGACAGGGCAGAAGACCGCTTGAATTCTCGGATGCTCGGGTTGTGGTGATGCTGAGTTTCCCCGAGCCCTGAACGGCTCGAAAAATTCAAGAATACTTTAGGGAAGGAGGCTCAAGAAGAAGGGAACGGCCCGGGTGATGCAAGGGCCCCAAGGAGGACCCTGGCAAAGACCCTAAGAGAAGGGACCGAAGGGAAAGTACAAAGGACGGGGACCGAACGGGCGCTCTCCCCCATCGCCACCTCCTCCTCCTCCGCCTCCGCCTCCACCTCCACCTCCTCCTCCTCCTCCTCCTCCTCCTGCTCCTCCTCTTTCTTCTCCTCCTCCTCCTCCTCCTCCTCCTCCTTCTCCCCTTCTCCCCCTCCTCCTTTTCATCATCATCATCATCATCATCATCATCATCATCATCATCATCATCATCATCATCATCATCATCAACATCATCATCATCATCGTCATCATCATCATCATCATCATCATCATCATCATCATCATCATCATCATCATCATCATCATCATCATCATCATCATCCTTATCATCATCATGATCATCATCATCAGCATCATCATCATCAGCATCATCAGCAGCAGCATCAGCATCAGCATCATCAGCATCAGCATCACCATCATAATCGTCATCATAATCAGCATCATCCGCATCATCGTCAGCACCATCATCATCATCATCATAATCACCATCACCATCGTCAGCATCAACATCAACATCATCAGCACTATCATCATCACCATCCGCATCACCACCATCGCATCATCATCATCATCATCATCATCAACATCATCATCATCATCATCATCATCATCATTATCATCAGCATCATCAGCATCATCATCAGCATCATCAGCACCATCATTATCAACCTCATCATCAGCATCATCACGATCAGCAGCAGCATCATACTTACCATCGACATCATCAGCATCGCCAGCATTATCACCAGCATCATCCTCATTATCATCCTCATGAACATCATCATCAGCATCATCATAATCACCATCCCAAATACCAATGATCCTCCTCCTCCTCCTCGTATCCCTCCTCATCCTTCTTCATCCTCTTTCCTGAAGCTGATGATTCTCCCATTCCTTTTTGCTGCTGCTGATTATCCTCCTGCTGCTGATCCCTAGTTACTCCTCGTCCTCTTCATCACTGTCCTTCCCCCTTTCGGCAAGCAAGTGGCCGCTGGAATTCTCGCTCCAAACCTCCTTCAAGAGGAGCCGAAGCCGTTCGGAGATCCGTCGAGGAGATGGTTCCAGAGTCTTGACCTCGGTGTCTCGTTGTCGGGGTCGTGGACTCGGCTGGCGACGGGGAGGGGAGGAAGACGAGGAGGCCGAGGGTTGCGAAGAGGACCGTCTACAGCAGCGGCAGAGGCAGCGAAGGGCAGCAAAGGAGGGAGAGGAAGGAAGCGGAGGGGGGGGGGCACCAGCGTGCGCTAGCTTCGGGTCACCGATGAGAAAGCGCCGACTTAATGTCGACCGGCGTCGATTCAGCGTCGCCTCGAATCGATCAGCGTCTGCTAGCGTCGGTCGGCGTCGATGCGCAGAGGCCAGCAAAATGGCACGGGAGGCT